CTGCTCCCTCCCTCCCTCCCTCCCTCCCACCTCCCCAGCCTCTGTTCTTTCTCTTCTTTCTCCCTCAGGCTCAGTCCCACTTTGCAAAAGCCAGCAGGTCATGGGGGGACACCCCCTGTGGTTGGGGGCTCCCCAAGCAGGACCTCATCCTTGCCAATTAGCCACTGGCTCCCATCCCAGCAACCTCAGCGACTCCTGGCCCTTGGCTTCTCATCCATGAAACCTGTGGCGCTTACACCAGGGGACACACGGCAGCCCTTCAGCAATAGGCACTTCCCAAGTCTTTGGTTCCTCCCTCATTCCCATTGTACAGATGAGAAAACACAGGCTTGGATTTTCCAAGGCCCCGCTTGGGGGATGGGGGGTGGGGGGTGGTTCTCTCAGGCTCATTGGGCTCCCAGTGCCCCCAGGCACACTGGAAAAGCACGTGACCCATGGCTGAAAAGTCTCCTCTGTGGCTGACCCCACCCTGAGCCTGTGAGAGGGAGCCAATGAGTCATCCCAGGCAGGCAGGAGGCCAAAAGATTCCAGGTTGTTCATGAGAAATGCCCTGTATGGACACAGAGGGCCCACCTCCCCATGGAAGTGACAGGCTGTGCAGGGCACTGGGAGGGGCCAGGCTGGACATGGTCACTTATCTGCCACCAAGACATATACCTCGAGGCCAACAAGCCTCTTCCCTACTCCAACTTCTCCCCTAGGTGGCTTTCTGTTGTGCCTCCCGCTACCCTAGGGATGGAGGGAGGCAGAGGGGGACACACACGGACACACACGGGGACACACACACACACACACACACACACACAGCTTAGAAGTCCATCCTCCTGGGCTACCCTCACTCACTCACCCTTCTCCCACAGCTCACTCAGCCCCAGCCTCGGGAGATTTGCATGTGCTGTTCCCTCTACCTGGAACAGGATAGGGATTCCCAAGACTTGATCAGAATCCAGCCCAGAAGCCGCCTCCTCCTAGAAGTCCTCCACAGCCCAATGGCCAGAAACACTGTTACACGGCCTTTGAGAACTGGCTAGCGTCTCCGGGTGGTGGCCCTGGCTCAATCCGCTCTCCCCTCTGGACTGAGAGTGGGGGGGTGGGGGCGATCCAGGGCCTGGCACTGAGCAGGGATGGGACAACTTGAGGCTGAGGGAAGCCCAGAGAGCCTCCGCCTCCCCCTGGGGCCTGAATTTCCAGGGAGGTCTCCCTGTGGGGATGGAGTGGGGTATGTGCAAGGGGTCTTGTCTAGAAAGCACTCCCTCTGTAAGCAAGCTCCCCTCTTACTCAGTGTGTTCAGGATATGAGGGGAAGAAGCTGATGAACAGGGGGTGTAAAGCCACCCCCAAAGGTCCCCTGAAGGTGGTGCCAGCTGCCTCGGACAGTCCAGAGTCCAGAGCCCAGAGCCAGCTGACAAGTCACTTCTCCAGGCTGAGCTTGACTTTTAAAACGGGAGCAATGAAGGCACCCTGGTGGTTATTGCTAATGGCAAAGGTCAGCGGTTCAAAACCACCAGCCAGCTCCTTGGAAGAAAACTGAGGCTCACTACTCTGCTCCCACAGAGTCAGAGTCTGTCTTGGTAACTCGCAGGAGCAGTTCTACCCTACCTTACATAGTGAGCAGGGATGCCGGCTCTTCCAACAGAATCCTGGGCTGACACAGGAAAGGATCCTCAGAGATCAACTCTGACACTAGCAGGAGAGTTCCACAAAGCCTTCCCCCATCCCAGCACCCAGCCGGCCCTTTGTTTCCTTCAGCCCTCTACCCCAGGGAAGTATACCATGCAGTTTCTGTCCAGTCACCTGGCAACTGCCACAGAAAGAGAGCCACCTTTCTACATGGTTTCAGAACAAAGACATGAGTCACAGCTGGCTGCAGGTCTAACCACAGGGAGTCTCTGTCCTGGCCCAATCACCTGGTTCAGATGGGGAGACCAGGGGCAGGGAGGAGGGGGTCACCCAAGGAACCACACACAGCTAGTACCCTGAGGTGTGGGAGCTCATTCCAGGGACAGAAGCAGAGAGGGGCAGAAAAGACCTCGGGAAGGACAGGTCAGTTCCAGCTGTGACCGGGGACAGCACTTTGACCCGCGTTGGACCCTCAGCCGACTTCAGGGTCTCAGAGTCCAGTGGGGAGCCAGGTGAGGGGAACCCTGAGCTATGTACAATTTGGGAGCCCTCTTTAGGAAAAAGACACCCTAGTGGTACAGCAGTCAAGGTGCTTGGGCTGTGAACAATAAAGGTCGGTGGTTCAAACCCACCTGGGGAGAAAACAGTCTGCTTTTGTAAAGACTTGCTCGCGCACTCATTCATTCACTCACCCGTCAAGTCGAGACCCACTCACAGTGGCCCTACAGGGCAGGGAAGAACTGCCCCTTTGGGTTTCCAAGGCTGCCAACCTTTATGGGAGCAGAAAGCCTTGTCTTTCTCCTGCAGAGCGGCTGGTGGGTTTAAATCACTGAACTTGTGGTTAGCAGCCGGAGGTGTAACCCACTACGCCACGAGGGGTCCTTGTAAAGATGGCAGCCTTGGAAACCTTATGGGCAGTTCTGCTCTGTCCTGTAGGGCCACTGAGTTGGAACTAACTAGACAGCAGTGAGATTTTAGGAAAAATAACAGGAAAAAATTATCTTCCCTTTGCAAACTGCACAAAATGAGGAGCCAGGGGCATGAGGGGCCTGGACACTGGAGGGACCTGGAGAGATGAGCAGCTGGCCCAGTTTGCCCAGACTGAGGGGGTCCCCAGGAGGAAGTGAGCCTTCCTTAGCTCCCTGGGAAACCCTGTGGCAGGTGTGAGGGCAAATTGTAGGCCCCCTCGGCCACCCCTTCATGGACCGCTGTGTGAAGTGCCTGGGTGCACCTCACAGGAGAGAGAGACAGCCCTCTCCAGTGGTGGGATCCCAGGAGGCTTTTAGCTCCCAAGAATCAGCCGGCATTACTAATGACCAGAAAAGAAGACTAGTAGAGTGATCAGTCAGGTGGGAGACATCTGTGGGGTGAGTGGGCTCAGAGGTGGAGATTGGAGCACTAGATTGGGCTGGGCCCAGATGACACCCTAGTCCAGGCGTCCTCAAACTATGGCCTGGGGGCCACATGCAGCCCGCCAAGGACATTTATCCAGCCCACCTGGTGTTTTTGTCCTGTTTGTTTTTTTAATTCAAAATAAGATATGTGCTACGTGCATAGGAATTTGTTCATAGTTCTTTTTTATTTAACTATAGTCCGGCCCTCCAATGGGTCTGAGGGACAGTGAACTGGCCCCCTGTTTAAAAAGTTTGAGGACCCCTGCCCTAGTCCTTTCCAAGCCTGGAATCCCAGAATTCTGCACTCCCTCCCACTGGAAGCACTGAGCTTTGCTTGAGGGTCATTAAGCCTTCCAGTGGTAGGGCAGGCTGGTTGGGTAACAGCCCTGAGCATACCCCAAAGCAGTGAGTGCTCGGCCCCTTCTTGTCCCTCCCTCCTGCTGGAAGCTTCTCAGCTCAGAGGCCCACCACCCTCCATCTCCTGGGCCCATTCTGACATCACCCTCTGCTTCCCACTCAGAGCAGGAGACCGCCCCTCCTGGGACCTCACTGCCTCCAATCCCGCGTTATTAAATGAACCCAACACAGGCTGAAGATTCACACCCATGACCAGCTCCCCCAGCACAGCGCCAATGGGTCCTCCCTCTCCAGGCAGTACCCTGGGTCCCAGAGTGCCCACCTGATTGGGCAGGTGCCCACAGCTTCCCACCTTTGCCGTGGCCAATCCGGGTCTCTGGGGAGTCAAAACCTGGTCAAGATGGATTCAACGCTACAAACCCTCTTGGCTATGCCCGAGGTACTGCGCCTCGGGGCGCAGAGTAACAGGACTGGGCTTCCCTACCCTCAAAGGGCTCCCCATCTGGTGGCATATGAGAAGGGTGGGCTGACAGAGGCTTCCCTTCCTGGGCCACAGGGGCAGGTCTGAACCTTTTCAAAGGAGATAAGCCAGGAACAAAACACCTAAGCTGCCCACTCCTACCTTCATATGGGCCTGCAACCCCAACACAGGAAGGGAGAGGCCAGCCTTAGCCTTGACTGAGCAAGGGGGTCTCTTAACCGCGTCCCTGCCCAGCAGTCCCAGACCCGCTAAGAAAAGGCCCAGACTTCCAAGGTGGTGAGAGGGTCAACCCCGAGAAACCAACCCTGACCCCAAATAGTCTTTCCACCCAGGCTACTGGAACTCCTCCATCCGGCTAGTCTGTGGAATCTCCTCGCTCCCAGGCTACACAGACCTTTCTCGGGGTTGGGGCGCTATACAGGCCTCTCCCCAGCCTCGCTGGGGGAGGGGAGCTTTCTCCTAGGCACCGCCCCTCCCCTCATCCAGGTGTACATTCAGAGAAGGGATCCGGAATCCAGGAAACGTCAGAACCTGAAGCCTCGGACGAGCTCCTCCCACCCTCTCCATAAATCGGGAAACTGAGGCACGTGAGGGCGCGGTGACGCCCTCACTTCGGAAATGAAGGCAGGTTTCCCCGTGAACGTGTTTGGGGTGGGTCCCAGCCCAAGGTCATGCCGCGAAGGTATCTGGCTCCCGTCGCGTGTCCCCGCAGCGTCCCTGATGAGCGATAAACCGGTGGTCGACCTGTCCTCCCCGAACGCACTCCCCGAGGAGGCGCGGCGTCACCCCCTCCCCCGCCCACCCTCCACACGCAAGGTGCTCCCCGCCCCGACCCAGCCCCCCAAAAAAGGCCACCTGAAACCCGGGCGATGTCCTCACGATCGCCCGGGCGGCCGCGCGCAACCGGAGCCGCAGGGGTGCGGCCTGGAGGTCAGGACGAAGACGGGGTTCGTTCCTGAGGGGCATCGGGAAGCGGGGGTTCCCAGAGCCCAAGCGGGTGCCCTCCCTCCGCCTGCGCCGAGACCCCCGCCCGAGAGCCGGGAGAAGGGGGCAGGCGCTGGCATCCCCGCAGGTTGGGTGTCCTGCCGGCCACCCCGCCGGGGGGGTCCAGTGGGGTCCCCGCCGCTCCCGGCCCCCCGCGGTCCTTACCCAAGACACGACGCGCAGGAG